CCCAGGAGGGCAGCTGAGGAGGGGTGGGAAAGGCTGGAGCTTGAGAGCCCGAGGGCCTGGCCTCCTCCTGGCCTCCGATTTTTAAACTGGAAATACCTCACTGCGTTTCTCACTTGAATATTTAGGCTGAATTTCCATGTGATGCTTTACACCGCACACGCTCACAGCCCTGGTCGTGCAATAAGCACTTACGGGGCCCTGCGCGGCACCCCGCCCCCGGCCCCGCCCGCTGTCTTCCCACCGGGGCCCCAGCTCAGGGATCCCCGGCCTCTTTTGCTGGCCTGCACAGCACTGGGGCAGGACCCGGCGGCCACGGCGCCGAGCAACAGCGCCATCGCCCCCGTGCCGCTGAGCGTGCGCGGAGCCTCCCCGAGGAGCAGGCAGCCCCTGGTCACGGTGCACCACCCGCTCACCGTTGCCAGCCAGGGTGGGCGCTGCCCAGGGCTCAGGCGGGCGGCGCCGGGATGCCCCAAGGGGACAGCTGCTCCGTCCCCAGCTTCCATGTGCACAGTCACGTGTCCCTCTGTCAACATGCACGGGCCACGGCCAGGTGCCCCCACAGGCTTCACGCCAACGTGTTTCGGGTTCCAGCCCTTGCTGCCCCACCGGCCCCGCTCAGCCCCGCTCCAGAGGCCACCAGCAAGCGGTCGGGGTACGGTGTGGGGAGAGGGTCACCACCGAGGGCTTTACACACGTTCCCCATCTCCAGCCACTAACCGGGTGGGCGTCGTTCTCTCCAAGGGGAAGCTGGGGCCTCACCTGGAGCCCTGCAGCCCCCAGCCCACCCTACACTCACCAGACAACTTACCACATTTCATTGACCCCGCGCCAAGAAGTGCAAAGGGCTGCCACGAGTAGCCATGTTGGGGCAGCAGATGTAAATCGGGACCACCTGGCCAACAATGCCAGGTCATCACCCTGAGAGAACACAGTCGTGGTCCCATCTTGGAAGAAAAGCTTCAGAGGCCGGTTCCAGCCCAATAACGGGATGGGAGGTGCTGGGACAGTGGCCCAGGGGATGGACCATACCCTTGTTTCTGGGTCTCATGCTGGGCATGAAACTGGCCAAGTAGGCACCACTGGCGTGGGATGCATGGGATTGAAGTGCCCTAGGACCACAGAGGAGGGGGTGGCCCCCAGGGAGGGCTTCCTCGAGGAGGTGTTCTCTGTGGTCCTAACACCGGGGCCCGCCTGCAGGACTGGCCACAGACGAGCTGTGGAGGGCCGGGCTGTGCCTGGAGCGCCTCCTGGAGCGCCTGGACACCTTCCCCAGGAACAGGGGCACCTGCATCAACGGCCTGAGGCTGCTCTGGGCTCTGCTGGGGGACGGTGAGCGGGCCCAGGGCCGGGCCCCCTCCCTCCGCTGCACCCTAACCACCGGAGAGCTGGGGGGAGAGGAAGACGAAGGGCCACAGGGTGGGCGGGAGAAGCTGCACCCGCATCCTGGGGAGGGTGGGTTCACATTCGGACCCCCTCATGCCCGGCCCATGGAACCCTCCAGCTCACACACATCGTGGGATTTCCTGGGCAGTCCCTGGTCCCACAAGCTGGCCTTAACACTGGGCAAACTATCCTGATTTCTGATTCAGAAAGGGGGTGCTCCCAGGCCGTGCCACTCCCTCTCCAGGCCCCACTTGGCCCTCCAGCACCTGAGAGGTCATTTTCCCCAAGGAAGAGGGCTCCCGACCGTGGAGAGCCCTGCCCACACCCGGCACGCAGGGCTTCCCAAACCTCCCCTTGGGGGCCTTGCCGATTCCTACCCTACAGACTGGCTAGCAGACTGGGGTTGCCCCTCCCCGCCAGCTTCTGCGCCACCAAGGAGTAGGTGTCCCCTCCTCCACCCCGTCCTGTTCCAGCTGTCATCGCGAACAAGGCCCCCTTGGAGAAAGCCCCGGCCCTCATTGCTGAGGTGCTGGCCACCTACCCCAAGGACGCAGAGATGGCTGAAGCCGGCTGCGCGGTCCTGTGGCTGCTGTCCTTGCTGGGTGAGCAGCCCGGGGCCCCGGGGCCGGAGAGGTGGCCCTGGGCCCTCGAGACGAGGCACATGCGGCCCCCCCGCAGGCTGCATAGGGGAGCAGCAGTTGGAAGAGGTGGTGGTCGTAATCCTGCAAAGCATCCGGGTGTGCCAGGACAGAGCCCTGGTGGTGAACGCCTGCCGGGGGCTGGCCAGCCTCGCGAAGATGTCTGGTGAGCCTGGGGACGGCCGGGACTGCCAATAGGAGGCGGGGGCAGACTCCCCCAGCAATGCCTGCCGGCAGCCCACAAACCAAAAGCAAGCACACGCTCAAAACAGGGAGGGGAAACACCTACAGTCCCATCACAGAGCCGTTGCCACGCAAACTTTCTGTACCCTCACTTGCCACTGTTCTGTGCAACTCTGCATGGTGACCACCTTGCCTGCCACCCACAAGCCTGGCGTGTGCACAGGCTCCCCTCCGGGTGTGGCTCTGAAAACAGCCCGAGTCAGGGCTCCGAACTCCGCCTCCACGCAAACCCCAGCTGTTCCTAAGCCCCCAGCCCAGGTTCTGCACCCGACTTGGCACCACGAGCCTTGACGGACACTCGGGGCCTGGAGCCTGGCAGAGGTTGCCGGCCGTGTGAGGTGGTTTGGCCCCCGTGAGGTCCGGCCCCGGCTGGGTGTGCAGGCTGGCGGGTCTCTGCCTGCTACTTGGCCTGAAGCAGGGAGTGGGGTGACCCTCACTCCTGGAGAGAACCTCCCGAGCGAGCGGGGTCTCCAGGCCTACCCCCAACTCCCGCCGGGGTCCCGCCGTCAAACGGGGTGGGGCGCTGAAGCCCTGAGAGCAAAAGGCACGTGGCTCAGTGAACAAGGAGCGGGGTCATCAGAACCCAGCAAGCGTGCGGAACCCCAGAGCCAAGAATCTCGGCTTTGCCACCTGCTGGCTGTTGACGGTTAAGTCCACTCCCTAGAGGCTCAGCTTCCCCCTGGGCTCCAGGAGGATCGGACAACTACGTGACATCATGGGTCACTGCTCTCACGGGCCCCCAGTCCCCCAGCCCCCCAGGAGCCAGGCCCAACCCCGCACTGACGGGCCTCCTCACAGGGCGGGGAGGTGCCCTGGAACGTCCCCAGCACCCTCTCTACAAGCACACTCGCCTTGGGGTCTGCCGGGATGGAGAGAGAGGCGGGTGCACACCCCACCAGAGAACACCTGCAGATGCAGAGCCAGGAAAAGCCGGACCTTGGCGGTCCCCATGCTGCAGGACAGCATGGCGCCTCCTGCCAGCTGAGGCTCTTGCTGCCCCAGGTGCCCTGGGCTGCCAACAGCCCCACGCGTTCAGTACTACTGTCACCCACCCACCCCCTCGCCCACGCCCAGAGCTGGCGGCCCTGCGGGCGGTGATGCCCGAGGAGGGCAGCAGCGGCCTCGCCCTCATCCAGGAGACGTACCAGCTCCACCAGGACGACCCGGAGGTGGTGGAGAGCATCTGCGCGCTGCTGGCCCGCCTCGCCTCCCCCTGCCCTCGTCACGCCCTCCCCGGAAGCCAGCGTTCAAGAGGCGCCCTGCTAGCGGCTATAACCAATGGGAGAGGGGCAGGAACCCTCCGCGCCAGGCACCATGCTGGCACGGGTGACACCCGCTCGCGAGTCCCAGCGGCTCATGCTGAGTCTTGGGGGGTGGGGGCCTGGCCTCAGGACCCTCTGCTCTGCCTGCAGAGGAGGTCCTGTCGGAGCTGGTGTCCAGCGACATCCAGCCCCTGGTCAAGGAGATCCAAGGGCGCTTCACCTCCAGCCTGGTGAGTGTCGGGGCGCTGCCTCAGCCAGGCCTGGGCGGCACAGAGTCCAGGGGCCGGAGCAGCGGCTTGTGTGGAGGCGACTGGGACTGCCGCGTGTGTGGTTTTAAGAGGCTCTCCCTGTATCACCGTGTCCACGACCGGGCCAAAGTAAACCCTGGAGAGCAGCAGCAGTGAGACCGCTTCAGGGAAAAGCAGATTAACTAACAGAAGTTACTCGTGGACCCAGAGACCGTCCATGGAGACAGCTGGCCTACCGTTCTCCTTGCAGGAGCTGGTTTCTTAACGCACGAAGTGTGCTTCAGAAACTGGAAGAGACCTCACAGCCCAGCTCCGACGGCGGGCAGTAGGCCCGCCCCGGGAAGCCGCCCAGGGAGGTCTGCCTCTCCCTCCTCAGGCTGTACCTGACGGGGCGCCCGGTGCCACAGGGCATCTCCTTAGGGGTGGGGGTCAGGGAGAGGCGTCACCCAGGACCAGCAGGGGGACACGGCAGTCCCCTCACTGAACCTTCACAAGCTCCAGCTCAAGTAAAAACCTGCGTTTATATCACACAACATCCTCTGTGGGTTCGGACTTTTTGTACGGCTAGCAGGGGCTCAGTATAGCCTGGTGCTAAACGCTCCACTCACTGAAACCGGCTGCTCCTGTGCTCAGAAAGCCCCCCGCGCCCGGGCCGGGGGAAGAGGGCTGCGGACCGCCCGTGGTCAGATCGTCCATCCTAGTCGGGGAGGCGCCCAGCTCTGGGGAGAACTGTTGCCATCGCGCTGGGCAGCCCGAGCTCCCCTCGCCGGCCGTGGGCCCTGACCTGCAGTTTCAAGTTGTGTGCGGCGGGTGAGAAAGGAACCGCTGAAAAGCCCTCGACGAGGCTGCCGCTGGGCTGCCCACAGCCGCGCGGTCCAGGCTCGAGTCCGTGGAGTTCTTTCCTTTCCGTTGGCCGAGGCAACGAGGGAAAGGGGCCTCCTCGGAGGAAGGCGCCGCACACCTGGGGACAACTAGGCGCTTCTTGTCCTGGGACCTGGGGAATCCCCAGGGACAGCCCCTTCCCCCTTCTCCCGTCCCACGTACAGGGATGAGGCTCAGACGCCACAACCAGACAGGAGATGTTCTGCCCAGCAGCAAGCACGCCGCGTGCCCCTGCTGCCATGATTCTGAAACCTTCCCACAGGGTCGCTGCTCCAGGGGCGACTCCATCGGTCCAGCGGCTTGGTCACAGAGGCCCGCGAGCGTGGCGCAGGACGGGGCTCCTGCTAGGCGTCGTTACCGTGGGCGTTGGAGGCTGGGGGCCGCCTGTCTTGGGCGATGCTCTCCCACTCCTTGTTCACCAGGACGTACAGCCTCATCGCTGCCTGCGCATCCTGAATCTGGGGGACATGCTGCGTCACCACGACTGCCCCGCCGGGCGACAAGCATGGCCACATACATGCCTGTCCATCCCCCAGTTCCCGAGTCCTGGCGTCAGACTCAGACAAGTGAAGGAGAAAACTGCCGGGAGCGGTGGTCCAGCAGCACATCCCTGCCCGTGCTTCTGTGCCCCAGTTCACGGGAGGGAGGGACCCAAAGCGAAGGGATGAACGTGCTGCCTTGTGGGTGCTCCAGACACCACAGAATTAGGAAGGAGACGGGTAGGGGGACGGCAGGCCCTGAGCTTGATGCTGGGGCACAAGAGCCCAACGGCTGGGCTCTGTGGGCCAGCGGGCTCACGCACGGTCCTCGAGGGCCTGCCGTCCAGACCGGGGCCTTTGTCTCCGACTGCCGCGCGCTAGTGGCGGTTTGGTGTGAAGTGCTGGTTACGCGTAACCGTTTAGAATCTAACCAGCACTCCGCAGGCCTGCTGCGCCGTGTCATTTATCACGGACCAGGAGCCTCCTAAAACAGAAGCCGCCCAAGGCCCACTGTGTTTGTCTTCAGGTGACACTGCGCCTTGTGCACGAGGCCTGGCACAGGCCCCAATCCCAAGGCCTGTCACCCGGGACACATTCACTGAGCAGTGCTCCGCCTGCTGCACCCGGATCCCCAGGACTCTCTCCGCAAGCAGCTTCAGAGACGGCCGTCCACTCTGCCAGGGGAGAGGGCAGCGCACAGCCACGCTCGGGTTGGGCCTCTGTAGGCCCTGCCTGGGCAGGGGAGCTGCCCGCTGAGCCCCGACCCAAGTGACCTTCAGTGTCCCTCCCACCAGAAGTGCCCGCGGCCCTGCGGGCTGGTGACACCCGGTCAGCCCACAGAGGAGGACCAGGAAAGGACTCTGCCACCTCTGCCTTCCGGCCTCAGGCCGCCCTGCTCGTTTCAAGGGCAGCTCTGCCTCTGGAATAGACATGATGGCGGCTTCTTGCCCGCAGTCGGGGGTCTAATCACAGAGATCAGAGAGTGCAACTCACCTGCCCTCCGCGACACTAACTTTAAAGTTGGCATTTGGCAGAACTCTTTTTCTTCTAAGATTCCTTTTAGTTTTAAAGGTTAAAAGGAAAAAAACCAAACGAAACCCAACACCTTTCGTCAGTAAGCCTCCCTTCAGGGACTAGAACCGACGATCACGTGAACCGAGAAACGGAACTAGGCTGTGCCGGGCCGCGCGGTTCCAAGTACCTCCACTTGGCTCCGGAAAGGCTTGTCCTCTGAGTGTCCCGGACCTCCTTCTTCGGGTGACCAAGAAACAGCGCCTGGAGGAGAAAACAGGACGGGCGTCTCGTCGTCCATCTGCAGCAGTAGAGCCCTTCTACCAAACTCCAACACGTAACACACGTGCACACACAGATAAGACGAGCACTGACGCGAGCCTGGACTTCTGAGGGAAGATCACCATGGAAACGGTGATGGAAGGACCATGGGCATGAAAACAGCCTTGAAACCGGGGAAGCTGGAGACTCAGACACCAAGGAGCCAGCAAGCGGCTGAGACGCGAGTCTGCGCAGGTTACAAGGGACGGGGAGGGCGCGGGGAGGGAGCACGAGACACCGGGGCCTCTCGAAGTGAGAACGTTTATGACAAAACGTGTCTCCGTGGGCAGAGGACTTGTTGGTTTTTAACAGTTCAAGCTTTACTTACTTTCTTTTTCGGCCACACTGCGCGGCTTGTGGGATCTTAGCTCCCGACCGGGGATTGAGCCCAGGCCCTGGCAGTGAAAGCACCAAGTCCTAAACACTAGACTGCCAGGGAATTCCCTCAAAATTTACCTTTAAAAGACATTTAAGACCAACTTCTATGGATCCCTTAAACATCGGAGGCTGCCAAGCTTCCAGGAAACACCGTTTGAAAAGCTGCAGGCCCAGGAAGGACAGTCTCTCCCACAACTGCCTGCCCTGAGCTTCTCGTCCCAATAGGTGGGTCAGCTCTGCCCACAGGAGAGACCCTAAGGGGCAGAGGCTGAGCCCCACCCTCTGGGGCACGGGAAGGGGACCCTCCGAGCCTGCCTGCCGCCCGCTGTGCTGGCCGCCATGGGCCGGCCTGTGACACGGGGAGTGCCCAGTGGCTCCGAGGGATGGGCGCCAGGGATGCTCCCCAACAGGAGGGGCTCTGCCCTGAGAGGGGCGGTGGCCCATCAGGCGGGTGAGGGTGGCAGAGACAGCGCCCGGCTCTGCCTACGAGGGTGTGCAGGGACCCGCTCCCCCAAGCTGACACGGTGGGCGCATCACCCAAGTCACGGAGAGAGCGCGACCACCTTGGACACCGCGTTACATAAGAGGCGCCTGGAGCCGGCACCTTCAGGTCGTTGCGCAGCGCGTGTCCGACTAGAATCCGGCCCTTCAGCAGGTCTGCCACCTCCTTCTGAACGACTTCAAATTCTTCTCCTGGAAACAAAACAAAGCAGCGGTTTTTAGTGACACGTCCATCACTACCGTGCTGAGCGAGAGGCTCCCCCAGGTTAGACCTGCGAGAACTGGCAGGCGGGTCTCTCTGCTCAGGAGGGCGATGCCAAGGCCGAGGGGCCATCCCAGCACCCCAACCGGGGAGAAGTGGGGGGGAGCACACTCACAGCCCCCTGCCACGGTAATTCTGACAGCTGAATCTAACAGTAAAAAGCCAGGGCATGTGTTTGATGTCTTTCCAACCGGAGACGAAAACGAGGCAGAGGTGGCCCTCGCCACAGATGGTGAGAAGCCCGGCTCTAGACCCTGGGCTCCAGAGGCAGCTCTGCTTGCTTTTTCGGAGCGGACCCCTCGGGGCTACGCCCTCCCCTAACGCCCAAAGGGAAGGGCTGCAGCAACCGCGCTTGGGCCCCGCGCCTCTGCCTGCCTGCGACCCTAGCAGGACCGGCAGAGCCCGGACGGAGATGTGGTCAGGCCCTGGGGCTGACGAGCGGCCGAGCCACCTCGGGGGCTGTGCTCCAGGGAACCTGAGAGGTGTGGAGAGCAGAGAGCATGCAGCCAGAGGACGACAGAGCCGCCGCCTCAAGCCCCTGCTCCCGGGATCTCCCCAGGCCCCAAATGTGGGGCCCCCCGGGTGCCTTTCTGCCCTCCCCCGACAGCCTGTCTGTCGGCAAACCCTACGGGCTCAGCGTCCAGGCTGTGTCCCGAGCTGGGCCACGGTTCGTTGCCTTGTACAGCCACCTCCCTGACCAAGGGCACAGAAGACAGGGTCACTCCTCCACCCCCGCGCCCCGCCCCAGCCTATGCCCAGCGCCGAGGCCCCCCGAGGGAACCTGCGCCAGACCGGGCCCCTCGCTGCTCACGGCCTCCCCACGGCTTCCGAATCCTCGCGTAGGCCTGGGAGCCCCTCCAGCCTGTCCCGCCTCCCCACCCCACAGCGGCCTCTCTCCGTCCAGGAACACTGTCCTGGTCTTCAGGTCGGGTGGCCAACAGGCAGCGAGGCCGACGCAAGCGGGCGCGGGAGCCTTTGAGCCCACCCGCCCAGGAGGGAGGAAGAGCGCCGGGCTCTCGCTGCACCTGCACCTGCAGCAGAAAGGGCCGCAGGGAGACACGGAGGCGCTCCAGCCGCCCCTGCCCGCGTGCCCGCGCTGAGGCAACCCACCCTGAGCCAGGTCGTCGGGCCGGATTCCGCTGACCGCCGTCCTGTAGTCAGTCACCGGCTGAGCTGGCTTCACGTACTTGTCATAAACACACTTCCCGTACTGGTTCACCAGGGACACGCGGGCCACGATGCTCTCTTCCCCCTTGGGGCCCACGCCCACCATCTCACAGTCCACGGCTAAGGCTTTAGTCAGGCTGGAGGGGAACCAAGGCTCCAGTTTAATCCACTCGCAGGACCCAGGAACTGGCACCACCGCTCAGTAACGTGACAAGGACGGGTGTCAGCCGGACGCCAAGAGGCACCTGCCCAACTCAACAGGAGGAGAGGGAAGCGGGCCCTTCCTGAAGACCCCCGGCCCACCCCCCGCGGCCCTGCCCTGCGTGCCCCGCGTACCCGCCGAAGGCCCGCTCCTTCACCAGCGTGATGGTGCTCTCGCTCTGACCCAGCCGCTTCCGTGCTATCCTGGCTGCCTCCGGGCCGATGGCTGCTTCGATGTCCGCTGGGTCGACGTCGTCAAACCAGATGTCTTCTCTAAGAGGCAGAGGGGAGAACAGGCTGAGCGCGGGCAGGCGAGCGGGGTCTGCTCTTAGGGCAGTCCGGCCCCAAGTGCCTGGCCGCCAGTCCACCGCTCTGGCTACTGTGATCATCCTGGCGCTTTCCTTTTTAATTACTCATTAGGGACTTCCCTGGTGGCACAGTGGGTAAGACTCCGCACTCCCAATGCAGGGGCCCTGGGTTCGATCCCTGGTCGGGGAACTAGATCCCACACGCGTGCCGCAACGAAAGATCTCGCGTGCTGCAAGCAAGCCTGGGCGCAGCCAAAAAATAAATTAGAAAACAAAAAACAAAAAACACTCATTAGCTGAAACTTAGGAACTACAGAGCAACAGAAAGAATATAAGACAGAAATACGCCCCCCACCCCAGTCAGGTGTACCGGCTGCTAACATTTTCTTCTTAACTACAAAACTAACGGTTCAGTTAAGAAACGTTTAAGAACCTCAGAGAAACACGAGTGCAGAACGTAGACAAAGAGCCCCACCACCACGTCCCCGGGCTGAGCCCTGCAGACATGGACTGCAGCCGGGCAGGGATGGGTAGCGGTGGCTCGTGACTGCGTCTTTCGGGCTCAGCGTCCATGTCATTTCTTTAGAGACAGCCTCCTGAGCTCACTGACTGGACGTGCCCCTCTGGCCATCTGTCCCCACAGGCTTCTCCCTCGTTGGATGTATCCCAACCACATTGAAGGAATTACTGAAATAATTTCAGGGCATCGTCTGTCCGCCGCGACACAGAGGGACCTGTCGTGACTGCTGTTTCCAGAGAGCGTGCCTGGGGCAGCGACTTGCGGCAGGCACTCAAACTGTTCTTTCCTGAAACCTTCAGCGATGGTGTCCTCAACCCCAGGCAACACACAGCCAGGCTGACTTACCAACACGCCACTCCTGGCTGAGCCATTCAGAGGCAGCCACTGACTTCTGCCCCTCCCTGGCGGGGTGACACCACAGGGTCTGCTGACTAACCACCAGGCACTGGGTCGGCACGCTGCACCTCGCGGACCCGCCACGGGTGAGCACACTGAGGTTCCGGGCACGTCGGGAACTTGCCCCACACCTTCCAGCTAGCAAGACGTGGCAATCGGCTTCACACTCGGGTCCCTGTGGCTTTGGCGTTCACTCATTCCACAGACCCTTCCTTGGGGCCTCCCATGTGCCAAGCCCTGTTCTAGGCCCCAGAGACAAAGCAGCTATGAAACACGTTCTGTCTCCCTTGTGCCCACATTCCAGGGGAGACAAATAGTCAACAAAGAAACCGACAGCACCAGGGTAAGGTGACGGAGGGGCCAGCAGCCTTGGCCTCCTTAAGGAGACAGGCCTTAGTCGCTGTGACCTGGCTCTCGGCCAGGAGGCCCGATTAGGCCAAGACGGTCATCACAGCCGCGCCAGCCCAGGGGTACTTACTCGGTGGGCGGGGCCGGAGGCAAGGTGGTGGTCACCTCCTCAGCTTTCCACTTCTTATGTCTGACTTCTCCTCGTTTCGGGGAAATGTCATCATTGGTCCTTTTCTTCGCTCCTTTCTCATCGCGCTGTGCCCGGATCTTCCCGTTCATCAGACATCCTGAGGGCACAGAGCCCCCTGTGGCCTTGGGGTCTGTGTTTTCTGTCCCCATCTCATCTCTCTTCGCTTTATCTGAGATCACTTTCCTGTTTTGCCGGACACTTTGGGGCTGCTTTTTGGAATCCGTCTGAGACAGAACAAGAGCCTCTTCCGGGGCCTGTGATTTTTGTTTCAGCAACTAACGGAACCCAAGATAAAACACGCAACACATTTTAATTTGGAAAACGTGCACAAAGGATTAAGAAAGCTTATACGTGTGTGTGTGTGTGTGTGTGTGTGTGTGTGTGTGTAAAAGCAACCTGTTTCCACATTTAGAGTTAATTCCTTCACAGCTCAGGCCAACAAGTTGGTGCATGGCAGCCACTTCCTTGATCAGATTTCTTGGTTTGCTACTGCTGTGAGGATCTCAGGAAGAGAGGGGTGTGTCCAACAAAAAGTGGCTGAAAAAGGGCTGGCAGCCGCACCCCTGCTCCCCTACACGGAGGGCTGAGGTTTCCCAGCCCAACCTCCTCTTGTGTGCAAGTCCCCGGTGTGGTCATTCTCAACACGGTTAAGACTCTGCTACGTGGCAACCCGCTGAGTGATCAGGCAGGTTTCTACTTATCTGTTCCCATAATGTTTAGAGAAGAATGTACTTTCTTGTATGAACTGGAGAAAACACAAGGTTTTTTCCATAATAAATATACCTCTGCTGGCTTAGTTTTACTTTACTCTCTTGAGAGAAAGAGATAAAGTTACAGCTCAGAAAGTCAGAGCACCCGGGGCTTGCCGGAGGGAAAATTTCATCGGCCTGTGTGTCAAAACAGGAGAATGCTTTGGACTCTGCCCTAAGATGCCCGGCTGTGTTAAGAAGCTCAGAAGCTCTGACGTTCCCGCTCTCACTCTGAGGCTCCCTCCGTAACCGATTTCAGGAACTAGAAGAGACTTTGAAGGTCACACCCCACGGTGTGAATGTGCACCCCAGTCTGCCATCTGCTAGCTAGCTGTGCGACCTTGCGTCAAGTTCCTTAAACTCTCTGCCTCATCTAGAAAACAGCGATGACAACAGCAGCCAACTCAACGGAACTGGTGAAAATTTGAGTGAAGCACACAGCAAACAGCATTTAGGAGACAGTAACCTGTGATCTGTAAGTAAGTTTGGGCCACTGATTCCGAGAAAGGCAGTGGGTACAACACGGCATTACGAGCAGGGACTTGGGTGTCTGACTCCTGGATCTGCTGAACCGGCTGCAAACCTGGACACCTTACGTAACCTTTCCGGCCCATTTCCTCGTCTGTAAAGTGGAGATGATTAAGGACTCTATCTCAGGGTTGGTTAAATAAGAACACATGTAACTCAGCCGACAGCGTCTGCCCATTTTAAGAGCTCGGTAGCCGGCGGCAGTTGTTGTCAACTCTCACCTATTAAAGGTCCAGGATGCTGCCAAAATCCTTTACATGAAGTCCCTGCCATTCACTGGCCTGCGAGCTCGCTGCCGCCCTCAACAGGCCACCTCTCTGTGAACCGCCCACAGCGTTCACGCCAATCTGCGCTCCCTTGGGCCCCACAAGCCCTTCTCCGTTTTTCCATCCGCGGGGCCCCCGCGGCCTTACCTCCTCCCGCAGCGCCTTCCAGTTTTGGGAAAAGTCCTCCGGTGCCTTTGGAGGTCGCACCACGACCACGCCGGGGCCGTTTCCCGGCTTTCTGCCTGCTTTTCTCGCTTTGTTCTTCCAAAATCTTTTCTTCCTGTTTTTCTTCCGATTCGGCTTCTTGACGAGCTCGGGCTCAGGCGCGGGGTCGCCCGGGGCGCGCCTGGGGGCCAGCACCCTCGCCTTCGCCATCCCGGCACCGTCCCGGCCCCCGCGCCCATCCACGGTGGCGCGGCGGCCCTGGAGCCGAGCTGTGCCCGCCGAGCACAGGTTCAGCCGGACCCCAATTCGCCGGCCGCGGGGACAGCAGCGCGCGGGACCCCGGAAGCCGCCCCGCGCAGGTCTCCGCACGCGAGCGCCGATCCCAGGAAGTGCCCCTCTCTCCCCGACCGGCTGGAAACCGGGCCCTCGCCTCTGGTTCCGCGCGGCCGGGAGCAGGGCGGGGCTCTTTGGCCCCCAAGGAAAAGGGCTGCCACCCCGGCGAGCGGCGTCCGTGGTCAGCGACCCAGGATCCGGTTGGGGTAAGCCCGGGATCTCCCCGAGGGCCGGCCTGGGGCCGAGAAACGTGAGCGCCGGAAGGGAACTGGGGGGGCCGCCGTCGGTGTAACACCGAGGCCCGGCCGGCGGAGGGCGGGGCAGGAGGCCGCCAGGGGGCGCTGGACGGCCGGGCCTGAGAGCGGCGGGTGCGGAGCGGACGTACAGGGCCCCCGGGCAGCTGTCTCCCGCCCCGGGGTCCGAGCCCGGCCCATCTTCCCTACGCGGCGGGGAAACTGAGGCCCAGGGACAGGAGGGAGCAGCCCAGGTCGCACAGCCTGCTTTCCCGGGGCCGTAGTTCAGCAGCATCCGATAACAATAATAAGCATTGTAACAAGTGTTGTATTGTATTCTTTTGTGTGACAACAGTAACAAGTCACTTGCGCACCATGCCTTGGCTCTGGCAATACCTGGGTCAGCGACACAGGTGAGGCCTCCACTTATCCAAAGCTTCCATCCCAGGCTCTGTACGTGCGTGGGGGCCTTCAGGGAAATACAAATGATAAATCAACAATTGTGGATAGTAGTAACTGCAACGAAGATGATGAAGTGAGATACAGTGGTACGGACTTGAGGAGGAGTAAGGCTACCCAACAAAATGCAGGACGCCCAGAGAAATAGGAATTTCAGATCAAGAATAATTTTGAGTATAAAAGTGTCCCATATATTAGCTGCAATTTGGGGGGCATACTTAACACACACACACAAAAATCCATCGTTTACCTGAAATTCAGGTTTCACTGCTGTCCTGATTTTTATTTTCTAAATGTGACACCTTTCCCTGGGGGGCCACTTAGATGGTGCCAGGAGGAAGGTGACATTTGAGCTGAAACTAGAGCAGCAAAACACTGGGCGTATTTGAGGAACGGTAAGCAGGCTCGGGGTGGGGGGGGGGGCGGTTCTTTATGGTTGCTTCATTT